GATGGACTTGAACCAGTGTCCAGTCTACAAACAGGAGGGTCAACACAGAGGAAATATATCCTCCATGTTTCCAAGTGAAGCTAGCCATAGTCAAGCAGGACCTTTGACTTATCTTCACATAGATGGAACTGGTAAAAGAAAGGAGCCAAGGGCTCCTTACAAGCCCATGTGACCTCTGAGGAACAGATCCTCAAACGATCTTAAGAGTAAAAATAAATTGTTTAATCTGGGCCAACCGTATGGCCTTAAACACCCAAAAGGAAAGCGTAACCAAAGATTAGTGTGATCAGTGTAATTCTTTAAGAGCCCATGTGTATAGCTAAAGGCTACATAACAAGAAACAATGCCAGACGGGAGATACCTTCCTTTGAGTTGTTGGCCAGGGTGACCCAAGAGACTCACAGACAGTAACCCAGCACAGAACTGGGACAATGAACAGTGACCCCAATCTTATCTAAAGGAATGTTGGCAACTGACTGCTGCTTTATGAGGAACAGCTTATCTTCCTAAAACAACTCTAGATGGCTGACTAGACTCAGTGGATGGACTAGCACTGGTTAAAGGCTGGGGGCACTGATAACACAGTGGACAGTAACAGGGATGACAAGAGTATATGGGCTCCCCAGGGACAGAGCGGAGGCTATGGGAGGGTGCCATTTGGGATGTGGGTATAAAGATGAATAAGATTGTTTAGGATGTTCTGTATGAAATATAAAAAAAAAATCAATAAAGAAAAAAATGAGTTATATTTGAGAAAGAAAAAAATTAGCATTAAATCTGTATAACCATAACTTTAAGAATTCTACCCTTCCATGTTTCTCTATTAAAAAACAGACTACACCAAGATATAATCAACAAACCAAAAAATGAACAAAAACATATATTGGTTGAATATTTCCAAAAATGTATCAACCTAGGCAGACAAAAAATACCTAGAGTGATATTCACCAAATGGTAGTAACAATTATTTCTGAGTTATCAGAATATAATACAGTATAGAAAACCAAAATCTTCCTCTGTACTTCCTGTATCAGAATGGCTTTTCCCTCATTTTCTTCTTTTCATATGTGTGGTATGTGTGTGTGTCTGTCGAGGCGGGGACCATTTGAAAGTGTGTGGGGGATGTATATGTGTGAATGTATATGAGGAGGCCTGAAGTTGATGTTAGACTATTCCTTGATTATTCTTCCAGCTTGTTATTTGAGGCAGGATCTGAGAGATCCTGGTATGACTGAGTCATACCCTGAGCTTGTAGACAATGCTAGTCACCTCTTTCTTAAAAAAATATTTAATTCTTTTATCTTTATTTTATGTGTATGAGTTATTACCTACATGTGTGTAAGTGCAGCTGTGTTGTTCAATGTCTGCAGTGCTCGAAGGCTTTAGTTGTCAATTTGACAGACCTGGACAGAGAGAGCCGCAATTGGGGAATTGCTTCCATTGGACAGGCCTGTGACTATGCCTGTAGGGTATTTCCTTGATTATTGAGTGATGTGGGAAGGCTCAGCCCACTGTGGGTAGTGCCACCTCTGGGCAAGTTGTTCTGTATTATATAAGAAAGCACGCTGAGCAAGGGCCAGGGGAGCAAGCCAGTAAGCAGCATTCCTTAATGGCCTGTGCTCTAGCTCCTGCCTCCAGGTTCCTCCCCTGAGTTCCTATCTTGGGCTCCCTCAGTGATAAACTGTGACCTGGGAGATGTAAGATAAAATAAACCCTTTCCTCCCCAAGTTGGTATTGGTCAGAGTGATTTGTCACAGCAATCAAAAAGAAACTAGAACAGAAATTGGTACCAGGATTGTGGGGTATTGCTGTGACAGACCTGACCCTGGTGTTTTGGGGAGGATTGTGGAACTTTGGACTAGAAAAGCCATTGACTGTTTAAGAGTTTGCTTCTGTGGAGCTTGGAACAGTTATGCTGAAAGAATTGTAGACGATGGATGCCTGGCTTGTGAAACTTCAAAGGGAAGTGAAGGCTATCAGGGCTGTATGTGTGATATTTTGAATTGAGAATCTGTGGTTTCTGGTCAGCTGAGGATGAAGAATCAGCTGGAATTAAGAAGAGACCAGAACCACTGAAGTGAAACCTTTGCTTTACTGGGACAATTGATGCCAGTTAGCCAGGGCTGAAAAGTCAGCTGTGGGTAACAAGAGATCAGCATCATAGTTATGAAATTTTCTGGGAGGTGCTTCCTCAGGGTCAGCACACAGAAGCTGTGTTCCAGAGAGGCCCTGAGCCTCTATTTCAAGCTGGAAGCAGGAATTGGTAATGTGAAAGTGACACCTACGTGGTTCTGGTGTTGAAAGTATGAAGAGGTCACAGACAGCAGCTGAGGCTTGGCACCCTGAGAGGCCAGGAAAGGCCATTGGTGAAAGTAGAGCCTCAGTTTCAGCGGAGACCCCAGGTTTGAAGGGGTCATGGAGAGAATCTGAGGCTTTGCACCCCAAGAGGCCAGAAGAAGTCATTAGAGAAGGTGTAGCCTCAGTTTCAGTGGAGACCCCAGGTTTGAAGGGGTCCTGGAGAGAATCTGAGGCTTTGCACCCCAAGAGGCCAGAAGAAGTCATTAGAGAAGGTGTAGCCTCAGTTTCAGTGGAGACCCTAACCTTTTGGAGATGCCAGGACCATGGGACGACAACCAAAGGCAGCAGCAGGTTTGGAATGGAGCCAGTCTGGGCCTGCAAGATGAGCTGTGTGTGCTGTGGATGGCAGCGCCTGAGACGCGGAGCTGCCAAAACCCTTTGGAGCCCAGAAGATCATGAGTGAATCCCAGATGTCCCGCCTTGAGCTACTTTGTTGGACTAAGGTTTTGCTTAATTGTGCCCAATTCCTCCCTTTGAAATAAAATAGTACTAACTTGTTTTTACTTTTGCAAGAGCCCACAGTTGAGAGAACTTTAAAAGAGACTTTGAACTTTAAAACGTTTGAGTTTTTTAAGGACTCTGGAACTTTTAAAGTTGTACTGCTTTATGTTGTGATATTAACATTAACATCATACCTTGGAGATAAGAAATGGAAAGCCTGTGGTTTAATAGTGATGTGTTTGTGTGTCATGTTAACAAGGGGTCAATTATGCTGGACAGCTTTGGTTGTCAACTTGACAGACCTGGGAAGAAGAAGCCTCAATTGGGGAACTGTCTCCACTGGACTGGCATATGGCCATGTCTGTGGCGTATTTTCTTGATTGTTGAGTGATGTGGGAGGGCCCAGTACACTGTGGGTGGTTGTTCTATATTGTGTAAGAAAGCAGGCTGAATGCCAGGCATCGTGGTGCACACCTTTAGCCCCAGCACTCTGGAGGCAGAGTTCAAGGCCAGCCTGGTCTACATAGTGCGTTCCAGGCCAGTTGTGGCTATATGGAGACCTTGTTTAAAAAAAAAAAAAAAAAAAAAAAAGGACAGGGGAACGTACAGTAAGCAGCATTCCTCCATGGCCCATGTTTCAGCTTCTGCCTCCAGGTTTCTGCCCTAAGTTCCTACCTTCGGCTTGCTCAGTGATGTACTTTGAGTGGCTCTGGAGATGTAATACAAAATAAATAAAACCTTTCCTCCCCCAAGTTGATATTGGTCAGTGTTTTATCACAGCAATTGAAAAGAAACTAGAATACCTACAGAGGTCAGAAGAGGGTGTTGGATCCCCAGACCCGGTGTTATAAACAGTTGTTAGCCACCATATGGGTGCTCGGAATTGAACCTGGATCCTCTGTGAGAAGAGTCAATGTTCTTAACCACCAAGCCATCTCTCCAGCCCCCAAAAGTGCTAGTCTAACTAGCAGGTTACCACACCCAACTGAGATGTACATGGGTTCTCTGGACCTAAATTCTAGTCTTTTTGCTAAGGACTTTAACTTCTAAGCCCTTTCCCTAGGCTCCTATATTACATGATTTCTTTGTTTGTTTGTTTGTTTTACAGGGTCTCCCTATAGACCCAGCTGACCTGGAACTCACTATGTAGAGCAGGCTGGCCTTGGCCTTGAACTCACAGAGATACGCCTGCCTGAGTGCTGGGGACTAAAGGCGTAGGCCATCATGCCTGGCATTACATGACTTTTTTAAAAAAAAGAAGTATGTATCATTTCACACAAAAAAGTTTTTAATAAGGAAAAAAATCTATGTGTTTATTATGAACAATTATATTCTAAAAAATTTTCATAATCCCTGACAAAAACTTAACAGAAATGTGCCCATCCTATAAAAACAGAAAACATGCTAAGATTCATTTTTTCATTTTAACATGTACAGTTAAATATATATGAAAAATTAACTTACTTTATCAGTATGATGCCAGAATCATGATCTCTGGAGTGGCAGGCACAAAACTTTGTCCTTCCCCTGGAGACTGATCCCAGGCCCTCACATATGTTAGGCATGTCATGTCTTAAAACCACCAGAGAATTCAGCTATCAATTATATCTCATCCACAGTTTCTACTTCACTGCTTTAACTACCCCCTGAAACATTAGCATTAGACCATACTCATGGCTGGGTCTCAGCTGCAGAGACTTTCATTTAATTCTATGGGGGACAGCCTGGTCAGTGAAAATTTTCAAAACCTCTAGGTCATTCCTGTATGTAGCCAAGGCTGAGAACCACTATATTACAGCCTCTCTTGGCCCCTGAGCAGCCCTCTGTGTACCCTGGGGACTTTGCTCCAGTTCTTCATGCTCACTTTCATCCACGGGCAATAGAAGAGATGGCAAATGACCACATGTACATAGTACCACCACAGGGCATACAGGGAAATTTCAGTCCAAAGAGACCATGGGCATCTAGCAGTCATGCACCTTATGTTTTGCAGCACAGCTACATCTATGAACCTTTTGTGAAAAAAAAGAGACCAGATGCTCCTTATAATAACTTTAAAAGTCATACTCCAGGGAACAGTAAAAAGTGATTAATGCCTATTCATATTAAACTAAGGTAGCAGAGAGGGCAGTGGAAATAGAATTAATTCCTAGCTTCTGCACAGAACAAGCTTTTAAATACCTAAGTAGTCATTATCCTACCTCTCGTTGCTGCTGATTCAAATTATGTGAATTCCTCTGGCAAAGAGCAATTGTCTCTACCATAGTGTCTTCAACCTTCTTCAATGAGAAATCCTCTTTGGTATCTAGATTCAAAAAGAGTATATGATAGAACTTGTGAACTGCAGAAGCCTCATTATGGAAAGCTATAAATCCCTTAAAGTGTCTAACTGGCTGGCCCTTAATTGGCAGCCTGGCCTTGCTCAAGCCTGGCTCTGCTCACCCCTTATCAGTTGGTCACTCCCAAGCCTGAGAGAAAGTGTTTGTGGTGCCCACCTGTCTCCTCTAGGGCCATAGCTAACACTCCTGCCAGTTTCTAGGGAAATAATCTTGAGAAGGAGACCCTCAATCACTCCAAGGACACCAAGCCCGGGCACTAACTCAAATCCCCTCTAAGTGCAGCTGTGTCCCACAACCCTGATATAAAAACCCCACATTTTGTCTAGCTGTAGAAGCTTGGTTCCTGAGGACAGCCTCTACCTCTCACTGTATCTTCTTTGAATAAAGGAAGGTATATTCCTTGACTGTTGCAGGTCTGGCTCTGGCTTCTTGTCTCTATCTTTCCTTTTATTTTCCAAAAATCTAACAGTATAAACATCACTTAAAGATATATTATCTATAACCTCAGAGTTTTGTAAAAAGAACCTTTGTTTAGTTTTTCTGATGGTTCATCTTCACTGTCAACTGAATTTAGAGTCACCACAGAAATACCTTTATCTTTGAGTGTGTCTGTGATGGTGCTTCCAAACAGGTTTAACTAAGGAGAGAAGATCTACCCTCAAAGTGTGTGGCAGCATCCCACGGGCTGGAGTCCAGGGTGAAAACAAAGGAGAAAGTGAACAGAGCACCAACCACACATCTCTCTCTGCTTCCAGACTGCAGATGCAATGTGACCAGTTGTCTCACACTCCTGCTGCCATTGCTAGAGCTGCTCATGCCCTAAAGCCTTCCCCACTATGATAGACCACGTGCCGAAAGTAATAACTAAATGTTTAAATGTTGGCTTATCACTATGAAAAGTAAATAAAATATTTACTGAGGTTCCAAAAAGATTTAGTATAATAACAAGATGACCAAGATATAGTACAAACTCCATTATCTAGGACTTGGGCATCAAGAAATATGGGCAAATTACCTACGGAGAAGAAAGATAAACGTGTATTAGAGCAATGTGTGGAATAAAGGGTTCAAGAAATGCTTTATGTTAAAGAGGTGAGGTCATCTAAAATCGCCCAATAAGGAACTCCCTGACCTTCAGGAAATATATGCTAGACTGTCAAGGAAATAAAAGCAGATTCCTGACTCAAAAATGGATGAAGGAGTTGAAGAGACATTTCTCCAGAAGACAAAATACACAAATGGTCAAAATAAGCACATGAGGATCTGGAGATGGTTTAAGAGCACTGACTGCTCTTGCAGAGGACCCAGGTTCAGTTCCCAGCATCCACATGGGAACTCATAATGATATGTAACTCTAATTCCAGGGGATCCAATGCCTTTTCTGGCCTCAGCCAGGTACGCATGAGGGGCACATACATACGCAAATGCAGGCAAAACACATAAGATAATAATAATAAAAAGCATACAAAAAGATGCTCATCAAATAAAACCTCCTGACACCCATTAGGAAAGATCCTATGAAAGAAGACCAAAGGAGGGGAGTTGAAGGGAAGACAGGGAAGGAGGAGACAGAAGAGGAAAGGGCAAAAGCATCGTTATGGGTGTGGCAAAAGTGCACTCGTGTACCGGTGAGGACGTAAACGGTGCAGGTGTATGGGAAACAGACAGCAATTCCTTAGAACATTAAAAACAAGGGCTATGGGTTTGACTCAGTGTTATAGCATCTGCTTAGCATGCATGAGGCTCTGAGTTCAATTCCCAGCACAAAATGAAAAAAAAATGTAGATGACTACTTTATCTAGAAATCCTACTTCTGGTTAGATACCAAAAAGAAAGAAAGAAAGAAAGAAAGAGAGAGAGAGAGAGAGAGAGAGAGAGAAAGAAAGAAAGAAAGAAAGAAAGAAAGAAAGAAAGAAAGAAAGAAAGAAAGAAAGAAAGAAAGAAAGAAAGAAGGAAAGAGAAAGAAGCTAAAAGATTTCTGGGCACTGATGTTCACAGCAGCATTATTCACAACAGACAACAGGTGGAAGTACTCAAGGGTCTCCTAAAGGGTGAATAAACAAATGTGCTATATAGCAATATGACAGAGTAGGATTCAGCTTCAGAAAGGAAAGTTCTGACATGCTTTCCAACATTTATGAACCTTAAGACATTATACTACGTGAAAGAAAGCAATCCATGATTTCATTCATATGAGTCACTTAACCAAATTTAGAAGACGAATGCTGGCAATAGAAAGCAGAAGACAGAGGCAGAGGCAGCGTGGCAGACAAAACAATTTGCAACTAGATGGTGGTTATGGCTGAATTATATACAATATGGTCATATTTACCATCTGTCCTTTGAACTTTTTGGTAAATTTTGTAACATTTACTATAATTTAAAAAATTAAAAGGAATGCAATGAACACAATGAAATTTTTATATAACTGGGTCAAAAATCACTCAAGATTTCAAATTGTTAGTTTTTGCTGCTTTGGGTTAAAACTAATTGGAAGCTCTAATGTGCTGTTTGGGCACATTACACCAACTTTAAGCACGTGAGTTATGTACCTGCTTTATAGATAATCAAATCCTAAGTACAGAAATACAGCCGAGAAGGCAGTCGATAGCCGTGAAGAAGGTTATGCTTCCCATGCACCTAACTTCACTGACAACAACAAACCGCAGTGGTTTTCATGATTTCCTACTATGCACCCTGGAAAACTAGCTAAAGCCAGTTTACATGAAGGTTGATGAGCACTACAATGTAATTATTACTTAATGAAGATAATTTATTAAATATCAATTTTTTTCAAAACATGAGGTCCATGGAAGAAAAACATTTTAAATTTACATTTAAGACTTACTTTCACCTTTATGTGTTATCTCTTGAAGTCTGCTTTGTAGTCTCTAGGAGGTAAAAATACAAGTATGCTTTAAATTTCTACCACCACATATTTGAATTAACAAGTCTTAAAGGTAAAACCCTAAGAAATAACAAGGAGAAGAATTCATTAGGGTCAGCAAGATGGATCAGTGAGTAAAGGTAACTGCTACCAAGTCCGATCACCCCAGTTTGATCACAGGGACCCACAAGGTAGAAGAAGAGAACTGACTCCCACAAATTGATCTCTCATGCTGTGGCACGTATGTTCCCATACAGATACACGCATACACATGCAAATAAATAAATGTTAATTTTTTTTTAAAATAATGATGGGGCTGGAGAGATGGCTCAGGAGTCAAAAGCACTGGCTGCTCTTGCAGAGGACCTGGGTTAGGGTTCCCAGCACCCACATGGTGGCTCACAACTGCCTGTAACTATAGTTCCAGGGGATCCTACACCCTCTTCTGGCTTCTGCTGGCACTGTACACACAAAGCACATACATGCAGGCAAAACACACATAAACATTAAAATTTTTTTAATTTAAAAAAATGTTCTTTTACTTTCACTCAGAAATAAAAACTTGTGCCCACAGCTACAGTATGGGAAAGGCTCGGAAAGCTTGTGTCACTATTCTGCCCACATCTGCTTCCCTCGTAGCATTAAACATTCATCACTGACGGCCCTCAGGATAGTAAGGAGGATCTGGATTTATCCACAGTTTGGATAGGGTATAAAATTCATTACTGTGTCATGAGTAAAAAGGGTGAGTTGGGCAGGTACCAACAAAAGGACATGACAAGTCTACCCTTAGAGAGTGGGCCACAGTCTGAGGTGTGATTTCTCCCAAATATACAGTTGTACTGGATTCTGAATTCTTAAAACCCCTTAACTGATGTTTATGAAAGCTTCTTTAGTAGGTATTGAAGCTGATCCTAAGATAGTCCTCTACCTAAAATCTGCTCCTTTTCTTGGGGGTTCTTTATAGGCCAAACTCACAGAACTTTAAATAATAGATTTTTTTTAGCTTACGAATTATTATCAGCATTCACTCCTACTCCTCCTCCTCCTCCTCCTCCTCCTCCTCCTCACTCACCTCATATAATAGTCAAATGATGGATAAATCCCCAAATTTACCCCTCTTCTTTCCATCATCACTGCTGTTCCCATGCCAAAAGCCCTCATCGACTCAAGCTGCACCACTGTAGCAGCCTTCTAAGTGACTTCTCATTTCACTTCCTTTTCTCTTTTCTCTGCATATCACTCCCATAATTCTCTTGTGGTCACCAGAACAATCCTTATGATACAAATAAGTCAGTTCCCTGCTTTTCAACTCTTAAGCATGTCCTAAAAAATCAACTCCAATCTGTACCTACCCTCTTCAGAGCCTGTGTTGTATAGCTATACCCAGCCAAGCTTCCAGCATTTTCCTGGTAAGCCTTAGCTAAGCTGGTATTCTCCTGGTCAAAGCTGCTGACATTCTCCTGGTAAGCCTCAGCCAAGCTCCTGGCATTCTGGTAAGATATGCTTCTTTATATTAGCAAGGGTTTGCCAATTTTGATCTTGTTACCTGCTAGGATCTCTTACTTCTCCTTCCCCCATGCAGGCCAGAAATACTTTTACTTAACCTTTAATACTTTAACCTTTAATACTAGGTTTATAATACATTCAATAGATAAATTAAAAGAAAATAAAGATATATGGGTACTTTATACATTAAAAAAAAAAAAAAGATCCTACACAAAACCTCTAAAGAGTATTCTTTCTTGGCCTATTTAGAATCCTAGGGCTAGAAAGAGAATAGAAGCTAATATGGAATATTTTTAAATTATGTTTATATGTGTGTGTCTGTAAGGAGTATATGCATGTAGGTGCAGGTGCCTGCCAAGACCAGAAGATGGGTCAGATTCCATGGAGTTGGAGTTACAGAAAGTTGTGAGGTGCCTGATGTGGGTGCTGGGAACTGAACTGATCAGGCCCTCTGTAAGAGCAGTACATGCTTTTAACCACTGAGCCATATCTCTAGTCCTGGGATTTTATATACAAACAGGACATCTCTAATCTATTCCTAGCTAGCTAAAACAAACATAAAAATTGATGTGACACTTCACACCATCAGAATGGCTACTATAAAAGAAACAGACAACAGCAAGTGCTATTAAAAGCAAGGATGTAGAGAAAATAGAACCCTTGTGCATTGCTGGTAAGGATATAAAATGGAAAATAGAATGGCAGTTCCTTAGAAAATTAAAAAGGAGTTGGGTCTGGTGGCACACACCTTTAATCCTAGCACTAAAGAGGCAGAGGCAGGTGATCTCTGTGAGACTGAGGTCTGTACAGTGAGTTCCCGGCCAACTGGAACTCACTGGGGCTACAGGGAGATCCTGTCTCATAAAAGAACCACCCCAAAAGTTAAAACTATTATGACTTGGTCCAATGATTCCACTTCTGGCTATATGCCCAAAAGAAATGAAAGTAGGACTCAAAAAGTAGGAACAGTATTCACACTAGCCTTAAGATAGAAGTACACCTTAGGGACATTATGCTAAGTATAACAAGCCAGACACAAAAGAGCAAAGCATTCACAGAGTCATTAAGAATGGAAGTTTCTGGGGGTAAGCGCAGAATGTGGAGTCATTATTTAATGAGTACAAAGTTTCAAGTTGTGATATTAAAAAAATATTCTGGAGATAGATGGTGGTGGTTACATTATTGTAATCTTACTGAACTGCACATTTATTAATAAAATGGTTAAAATGGTGAATTTTATGCTATGTATACTTTGCAATCATTTTAAAATGGAAATAATGTTTTTTTTAAAATTGAAGAACACCAAATTCTAGTGAGACTGTGAAGCAACTCAAAGTCATATTATTGGTGAGACTAGAAGGTGGTGTACTAATTTGTACAAAAAGATTAGCACAAGAGTGAGGACAGCAGCTCTAGTTCATAACAGCCAAAGTCTAGAAAGATCCCAGGTATCAGTAAGTAAGAGAATGGAGGCTGTAACCATATAGCTAAGTATTAAGTATTACTCACCAGGAAATTATTGCCAAATGGAATAAGAGATTGCATCATAAGGGTTAAGGAATTACACAAAGAGGGGCTGGGTGTGGTGGCCACGCCTTTAATCCCAGCACTTGGGAGGCAGAGGCAGGCAGATCTCTGTGAGTTCAAGGCCAGTCTGGTCTACACAGCGAGTTCCAGGTCAGCTGGGACTACAGGGCGACCCTGTCTCAAAACAACCAAAAAAAAAAAAAAAAAAAAATTACACAAAAGAAAAGTTAGTGGATCTTGAAAGAAACACATAAGACATTTTCTCTGAAGGTCTAAGTGTCAAGTAAAGGGAATGATTGCTATTTTCTTAGGAACCTAATTACATAAATATGTATATGTCAAAAAATCCCTATCAAATGTTATATTGAAAACTCGTAGGTCCTCTTCCATGCATATAAATTTTACCTTTAAAAGAAAGTGTCACAAAGAAAGTGTCATCACAATATGGAGCACTACTCAATGATATGCATGCTAAAATGGTCAGGGATAAAATTTACTTTTGTCTGTAGCTTAGAAAGTGACCAAAAAGAATGACGAAGAGACATACAAATACAAATGAGGCATAGTGAATACAGTCAAGTGTTACCTCCAACAGTATTAAGAAGGCACCACGAATATCTCCTTTTTTTTCCAATAAATAAGCAGTGACCTCCTGAAGTTCATACTTTTGTGTAATCTAGGCAAAAAGAGAAGATAGACATTTTCATTTGTAATAATCAGAATAATCATCAAAAAATTCATATCTCTGTTATGCTGTTATACAGTGTAACATGCAGATATTTGACTTTCTTGTCTTAAGAGTGAACCCATTCGACAGCTCTACATAGAACAAATTTATGTATTTATAAAATTTGTTATACATCTAAATGAGGTGTCACTGGAGAGAAGTCAATACACATATATAAACAATAATTATATAAACTAGAAAATGATCAGTTATAATTCTACACAAAATATTTAGAACAAAATGACTGAAAATATTTTTGCTACATATTTAGCAAAAATTAATAAATTAAGAATATCCAAATGGGAGCTGAAGAGATGGCTCAGTGGTAAAGAGCACTGACTGCTCTTGCAGAGGACCCAGGTTTGATTCCCAGCACCCACATGGCAATTACAAACCGTCCTTAACTCCAGTTCCAGGGGATACAAAGCCCTCTTCTGACCTCCACAGCATTGCACAACACGGGTGCACTCACATACATGCAGGCAATACACAACAGCACATAAAATAAAAATAAATAAAATATTAAAAAAGAATATCTACACCATTAAGAAACATTAAGCAAGCTAAGAAAATCAAAGAAAAAAGTTCAGAAAATCAAAGAAAGAAAATAAGAGAGTTTATATAGAAGTGTCTTTGAAAATACTGACAAAATAAATAAACCATTTTACAAGAAAAGGAAAGCACAACACATTAAAGGGCTAATAGAGTGTCTTAGTTTCTATTCCTGTCTCTGTGATAAAATACCCTTTGACAAAAGCAACTCAAAGGAGGAAGGGCTCATTCTGGCTCAAAGTTTAAGGATACAGTCCATCATGGTGAGAAAGTTAAAATGGCAGGAATTTGAAATCCAAAGCAGAGAATAAACAGTGCGTGCTAATGCTAACACTTATTTTCTCTAGTTTACATAGTCTAGGATCCCTCCCCAGCCAGGGAATGATCCTGCCCACAGTTAAGATGGTTCTTCTAAAATCAATTAACCTAATAAGACAATCCCTTACTGGCAGACCCAGACAGTATTTAATCTCTCACCCTTGTGCCTAGAAGCTTATCTTTTATGTGAGTCCAGATCCTGTCAAGTTGACAACCCTAACCATCACACAATTCAAAGAAGAAAAATGTGTGAACATCTCAATAAATGTAGGAAAGCATTCAGTCAAAGCAGCATCCTTTTATGACAAAACAGAGTAACTCTTATCAGAGTGGAATTTTCTTTAGAGATGTTATCTTTGGATAGTCTACAATAAACATGATATTTACTACAAAATATCTGCCACATTCCCTTAAAATGACAAACAAGAGTAGAAGGCACACTATCACTTCTATTCAAAAGTATCCTAGAGCTCCTAGATGTCTAAGAACAAGTATAAAATTGAAATGTAAAAATTGCCAGGTTACTATTCTTTTTAGAAAGTACTACTGTCATAAAATATCTAGAAACTATTTGAACTTGAAAAGAATTTAGCTGGCTGCTAATGTAAACCAATGCCAACAATGTCTCACTTTTAAATGCCACAGCAACAAAAATAAGAATGTCCATACAGAAATGTTTTAAAGCCTAACCAAAAGACACAAAAGGTATTTTAAAAAGGCAAATATCTCTGAATGGGAAGAATCAGTATTACAGGTGTCACTTCTTTCTGAATTAACATAATCCAACATATTTTTAAGTCACACATCTAAAATCTTTTTGGAGAAATTTTATAATGTAATCCCTGCAGTGATGTGGAGGTGGTAAGAAGCTATACAAGTAACCAAAGTACTCTAAAGAAAAAGGAGAAGGAAGCCAGGCACAGTGGGGCATGCCTTTAATCTCGACACTTGGGAGGCAGGAGTATCTCTGTGAGTTCAAGTCCAGCCTGGTCTACATAGCAAGTTCCAGGCCAGCTGGGGCTACAGAGAGACCCTGTCTCAAAAAAGACCAAAGGGAAAAAAAAAAGAAAAAAGAAAAAGAAGGATGCAGGACTTTCTCCAAATAATACACCTTTCTAAAAACTGAGTAGACTATAATATGCTGTGTAGGCATAGGAACAGACAAGGAAGAGAACGCAAAACAGATGCAAGCACAATTGGGACTTTGGTACATAGCAGCATGGCATTAAAAATCAGTGAGGAGAGTCAGGGGGACGGCTCAGTGGGGAAGAGTGCTGCCTCCCAAACCTGCCGGCCTCAACTTCACCCCCAGATCCCATGGTGGAAGGAGAGAAACCAGGAATGAAAGTTGTCCTCTGGCTTCCACACATGCACTGTGGCACACATGCACAATTCCTAATCATATACAGCATACACACACACTGATAAAAATAAAAGTTTAATGATCAGCGAAGAAGAGATCATAAAATGGCAAAAAATATGGCCATTTAGTCATGAAGTAGGGAAAAAAGACACAAACTTCTCTCTTGATCAGCCTACAGATGTATATTTAAGGTGGATTAAAAGCCTAAAATATTTCCTTGGCTAAGGTTGGGGCCTGCTGCCCATTTCCCCAGTTCTATGCTGATTTTTGTCTAAGTTTGCATGGGTCTTATACATGCTGTCATCATTGCTGTAAACTCTTATGAGCAAGTTTCCAGAGGCCTGGAAGACTCTGTTTCCTTATAGTTATGCACCAACCCTGGCTCTTACAATCTTTCTACCCCCTCTTCCATAATGGTACTGAGCTCTGGGTGGGTGAGGGTTAATACTGGAATCCTATCCAGGGATACACACTCTGTAGTCTCTTATTATCTACATTTTGGCCAGCTGTGGCCTTCTGTGTTCATAACCCTCTATGGCATGAGGAAGCTTTGCTGGTAAGAGTTGAGGAATGCATTAGTATGCTCTCTACTGTCTGCTCCCCTATGTTCCATGAGCCTTAGATGTAGAGGTTCCATTGTAAATGTGTCACTTAGGACTGGGCATCTTTCAGACACTTGGGATTCTGTAACAGTCTTCATCTGTTGCAAAAAGGAGCTTTATTGATGAGTGATAAATGGTATACTTGTCTGTAGATATAAGGATCCATATTTAGCATACAGTAAGAAATTACATTTAGAGTTTTCTCTAGGATCTATGACCTCTCCAGCCATGTGTATTTGGCTATGTTTATAGTACTACACATGAATTTCCTCCCATTAAGCAGGCTTTAAGTTCAATTAGATAGCTGTTGATTACCCCCCAAAAGTGCCACTACTTCACTGCTATAGTAGTTATGCTGGTCATTGTTGTGGTTATTAAGCTTGAGGGCTGGGTTGGACCACTGATTGATTTTCTCCCTCAGCAGCTTGCATATTGTCTTCTAGAACTATGAGAGCTAGTCTTCAAGGGAGGTGGCTTCCAGGTCAGTTCCAGTTCCATTGCTCCAAGTCCTGTGTCTGAAGTATGTCCTGTCTTCAGCAATAGGGTGTTACCTTCAAGTTCTGGGAGGCAATCAAGGGCTGTGGCAATAGCCTGTGTTATTCTGGGAGTCTCTTGGACTACCCTGACCAACAACTCAGTGAGAAATTATTGTCAGCTGATTACTGCTGGGTGAGGAAGAGTTGATCTTCTTTAGGGAAATGGCTCTAAACAGACTGACTAGACACCAGTAGATGAACTTGAACCAAGGGATGTCTGGGTACACAAACTTGATTCAATAGGCCTTAACATATATGACAGAATGCATGAAATCCAGTGGTGGTAGCAGATATGGGAGGGTGTAGATAGGGGAGGGAGTCTAAATATAATTAAGATGTATTGTATGAAATGCACAAAAATTCAACAGAAATATACATTGAGAAAATAAATCCTAAGAAAGAAGAAATTAAACTGTAAAAATTATGAGAAATCCTTTGTGTCAACAAAACAGGAATGAAAATAGGATACATAAAAACTTAAACCTTAAGGGAATGACAAATTAAAACACAAGCCACTAACATGTTAAACTAACATGTTAGATACACCAAATATAATGGAAAAACATTCTTTGCAACATATAAAATCAGCAAAGAATGAGAGATGGAGAAATGAACTAGATGTGAACAAGAAGGGCAAAAATGCAGTAAGAAAATGGATCAGGATGTCCTCAAATAACATACACTCCTTCAGCGGTGGCAGGAGTATACTATCACATTGTCAAAATGAAGAAGTTTAAATGTATTAAGTAGAAATGTCTTTCACTTGGTTAAATAAAACTAGGAATCATTGAAGTTGTGGGGAAATTGCATATATCAAATACTGCTGCTTACAGTATTATAACACAGAAACACTTGGGAAATAACTGGGTGATAACAGAGCTGTGCTACTCTAGCAGGCAGAGGTGCAGAGGCTGCATACATCCTAAGACGCCTCTGAACACAGTCCAGAACATGTTTAGATGAGGTCATCTGTAATGTCAAAAGACTGGACACCCCTGGAATAATTCCCTTTTCAGTGAAAATTCATACAGGCACAAGAAAATATGTACTCATATTTGAAGTATGTCCTGTCTTCAGCAATAGGATCTTACCTTCAAATTCTTAGAGATAATCAAAGTCTGTGGCAATAGCCTGTGTTATTTTGGGAGGCTCTTGAACTACCCAGACCAACAACTCGAAAGAAGCTTCTCCTGTCTCGCACCATGCTTCTTGTTACACAGCCAGCTATACACATGCACTCACGTACAGATATTTTGTGTCATTTTCAGTAGGCTTTCAACTAATACATTTCCCTCTGGTTTTTCATACCACCTAAGCATTATTTATCTCTCATCTCTCTCTTTCCCTGTCTTGTCCTCCCTTCCCCTTTCCCAGTTAAAGTACCCCCATTTTTCCCTTAAATACCTGTCTCCTATTATCCCCTCTTTTGAGTTCTTTCTTCCCTTTTACCCCCATGGTTCCTTGTACATCCTTCCCTCTTCTTTTCCCAGTTAAATACTCCCCATTTCCCCCTTGGTAACATCTGTTTCCTACTATCCCTCTCTCTGGGGCTTTCTTTCCCTTTACCTCCATGGATCC